GACCTGGCAGACCCAAACGCATAGTGAGGGTCTGCTGGGAACGCCTGGCAGAAGAACCTGTCAAGACGGTCTTCAACTCCCACCTCCGGCAGAGCTTTGACCACGTCCCGAGAGCAGTGGGGGACATTGAGTCCGAGTGGGCCTTGTTCCACTCTGCGATTGTCGAGGCGGCTGTTGCTAGCTGTGGTCGTAAGGTGGCCGGTGCCAGTCGTGGTGGCAACCCCCGTACCCGCTGGTGGACACCAGAGGTTCGGGGAGCCGTCAAGCTGAAGAAGGAGGCCTACAGGGCGTGGCTGGTCAGTGGGTCTCCGGAGGCAGCAGACAGGTACCGGATAGCCAAGCGGGGTGCAGCAGTGGTAGTTGCCGAGGCAAAATCTCGGGCGTGGGAGGAGTTTGGTGAGGCCATGGAGAAAGACTATCGATCGGCTCCAAAGAGGTTCTGGCAAACTGTCCGGCGCCTCAGGAGAGGAAGGCAGCAACTCGCTCACACTGTTTACAGTGGGGATGGGGAGCTGCTGACGTCAACTGAGGCTATAGTCGGACGGTGGAAGGAATACTTTGAGGAGCTCCTCAATCCCACCAATGCACATTCCGAGGAGGAACCAGAGCTGGGAGGCCTGGGGATGGACTGTCCGATCTCGGGGGCAGAAGTTGCTGAGGTAGTCAAACAACTACACAGCGGCGGAGCCCCGGGGGCGGATGAGGTTCGTCCTGGGTATCTCAAGGCTATGGATGTTGTAGGGCTGTCATGGTTGACACGTCTCTACAACATTGCGTGGTCATCGGGGGCAGTTCCTAGGGAGTGGCAGACCGCGGTGGTGGTCCCCATCTTTAAGAAGGGTGACCTGAGGGTGTGTTCCAACTATAGGGGGATCACACTCCTCAGCCTCCCTGGAAAGGTCTACTCCAAGGTACTGGAGAGGAGGGTCCGATCGATAGTTGAATCTCAGATAGAGGAGGAGCAATGTGGTTTTCGTCCTGGCCGTGGAACTGTGGACCAGCTCTATACCCTTGCAAGGGTGATGGAGGGGGCATGGGAGTTTGCCCAACCAATCCACATGTGCTTTGTGGATGTGGAGAAGGCTTATGACCGTGTCCCCAGGGGCACCCTGTGGGGGACGCTCCAGGAGTATGGGGTGGGTGGCTTTCTGTTAAGGGCCATTCAGTCCCTTTACCAGAGGAGCGTGAGTTTGGTCCGCATAGCCGGTAGTAAGTCGGACCTGTTCCCAGTGAGGGTTGGACTCCGCCAGGGCTGCCCTTTGTCACCGGTTCTGTTCATCACTTTTATGGACAGAATTTCTAGACGCAGCCGTGGTGTGGAGTGTGTCGAGTTTGGTGGCAGGAGAATCTCGTCTCTGCTTTTTGCGGATGATGTGGTCCTCCTAGCTTCATCCAGCTCTGACCTTCAGCTCTTGCTGGGTAGGTTCGCGGCCGAATGTGAAGCGGCTGGGATGAGGATCAGCACCTCCAAATCTGAGACCATGGTTCTCGACCGGAAAAGGGTGGCTTGCCACCTCCGGGTCGGGGGAGAGGTCCTACCTCAAGTGGAGGAGTTTAAGTATCTCGGGGTCTTGTTCACGAGTGAGGGTAGGAGGGATCGGGAGATCGACAGGCGGATTGGTTCGGCGTCTGCAGTGATGCGGACGCTGAGCCGATCTGTCGTGGGGAAGAGGGAGCTGAGCCAGAAAGCCAGGCTCTCGATTTACCGGTCGATCTACGTCCCAATCCTCACCTATGGTCATGAGCTTTGGGTAATGACCGAAAGAACGAGATCGCGGATACAAGCGGCCGAAATGAGTTTCCTCCGTAGGGCGGCCGGGCTCAACCTTAGAGATAGGGTGAGGAGCTCGGACATTCGGGAGGGACTCGGAGTAGAACCGCTGCTCCTCCGGATCGAAAGGAGCCAGTTGAGGTGGTTTGGGCATCTGGTCAGGATGCCTCCTGGACGCCTCCCCGGGGAGGTGTTTCGGGCATGTCCTGCCGGCAGAAGGCCCCCGGGTCGACCCAGGACACGTTGGAGAGGTTACATCTCCAATCTGGTCCGGGAACGCCTTGGGGTCCTGCCGGAGGAGCTGGTGGACAAGGCCGGGGAGAGGACGGCCTGGAGCTCCCTAGTTGGGATGCTGCCCCCGCGACCCGGACCCGGATAAGCGGACGAAGACGACGACGACGACTTTAAATGTTTCCACTAGAGACTGATCACACGTAATGTTAAGAAGTCACATGACACATTTCCTTTAGCTGATCCATTCAGAAGCTTCCAGATCTGACGGAGGCGTGGTTTTGGTGGTGCTTGGGAAATCTGTCCCTTTTTGATTCGACCATAAACCAAAACATCAGAAGTATAAAACTATGCCCACGTCATCTTTAACGCCAGTTCAAAGCGTTCTAGAGAAGTTGTCGGAGTGGCCAATCCGTAACTTTCCTCTTCAGCCGAAAGAACCAACGACAAGCTGGATAAAATCTGTTGCTGTTCCACCTGCTGCAACGGTTCCTTTCAGAATAAAAGCTGAACCATCACAACCCAGGTTTGGGTCTTGCTAGAAGCCAACAAAACTGTCGTGACCCGGAAGTATCTCAAGACTGGACTGGTCGGCAACCGCTGCTTTTCCTACAGGCTTCAGTTCCAGAGAGGGTCAAGCTGGACCTCGACGTTCCTGATCTAACGAGGACTTCCGCAAAGGGTACGTAGGCCGACAGAATGGCGTCTCAATGTGTTTATGAATCTCCAAATCAAAGCTTAGCATGAAACATCATCTTCACTCCCATCAGAACTAATCATTTCTCCGGATCTGCTGGTTCTGAAATATTCACACATACACCATTCTCAGTCTTACCTCACCTTAGTTACACCATACACCTAGTGTTGAGGTTAGTCTAGTTTTAAATTGTTTAGTAATAAATCTTTAAAATTTAAAACTTGACTCACTCTCTTTTCTTGAAGTTAATACAAAGTGTTGCTCAATCCCTGCAATAAAAAGATCCGATCTTCTGATTAAATTAACTTAAAGAACCATTACGGTGATATTTCACATTTTATGGTTTCTAATTAAATGTAGGAACATCTTCTCTACAAAAGCAAACCATGAGAAGGAATCTTTTAGAGCTTTTAGGGTTACGACATTGGATTGTGGACTTGTAGGCTATTTTATTGGAGGACATTACATGGACCCTTGTGGATGTAGACTTTTTGGTCAAGACAGCATCTTTGTTGTAAATCAGGTGAGGTTTGGAAGGGTCGGCTATTTGGCATTTCTGAGCCATTGGACAAAAGCATTCAAAGGTTTATGATTGTGATTGTATCACGCCCCCCCCCCCCAAATAAAAACAAACACACTGATGTGAAGACTATAATTTACCACTTGTGGTGTATTAAACACCAAAGACTTAACTGTCAAAAAGACGACAGGAGTGCAGCAACCTAAAGTGATTTTTAATTCCTGTACGTTTCAGTGTATCAATAAATTTAGCAAGATTAGAAATAAATCGTATTGATTGATCGGATTGCTACACTAAAATCCAATCAATTATGGACAAAAACCGATCAAACTCAAGGTGTGTGATTTTAAAATCCCTTCATTAAATCTATTACATCCTAAATCTGAAATAAAAAGGGACTTTGTGTGAGGACGGAGTTGCGTATCGATCTTTTTGCACAACTTTTATTATTTCCTGCCCACAGGCTTGTTTGTTTTCCCTCCACAGACTGTTGCACCTTCTTTGCACAAATCAAAAACTCTGTCGCAGAGATGGATTCAGTCTGATTCCATGTTTACCCAACGATAGAAATGTGATTTTATTTTTCTGGGCTTCAGATTTCTTCTATACTTTTGGTTTAGCTTGCTTTGGAGTTACAGTTTGTTATTCTGATGTGTTTCTCCATTACTGCTCTTTATTCTTACAAACCTAACCCTTAAATGCCAAACGTATCGTTTTTTTCTACACATATTTAAAAGTTTCTTAACTTCTTTATCTTTTAACAGGATTGGTGCATTCCTCAGACTTCTGCTCACGTATGGGCTCGACACACGGGAGGCGACAAACGACCGCGATCAGCAAAATTCGTCGCTGTTGCTTTTATTACCTGACACACGGGAGGCGACCCGCGGCAGCGGCAAAGCCGTCTACGCGTTCTGTTCCATGGCGAAATCGAAACTTCCGTTGTTTTGTTTGGCTGTGTCAGGTTGGAGGGAATTAAGGTTATTTAAGCGGTTCAGAGTTAAAAAAGCGGTAGATATGATGTTTCACAAGGTGCTGCTAGAGTTATGTCAAATCTTACTTCTGAGTTTACTATATAAAAAAAACCAGAGAATGGGTTCTTTGGTAGAAATATGTACAGTTCTGGGAAATCCGTCACAGCAAGTATCAACTTCTCCTCCATGTTTGCTCGGAGATGTACGGAGCATCCTGTCCGCTCATTGGTCAGTGAATGAAACCTCCGTTGATTGGTCCTCGACCGAGCGACAGCGATGAAAAGTTGAAAATATTTCAACTTTCTGGGATTGCGTCGCTGGGTCGCCTGTGCACGACACGTGCACGACACGTGCACGAGTGAAAAATTTCACACACATGTTTTTCGCGTTTCGCTTGGTAGGAGGGAGATCCGCGATTATCGCTTTGTCGAGCATGTCTCATTGAATATGAATGGAGGAGAGGCGACGTCGCCTCCCGTGTAGCCCATTAACCTCTGTAGAAGTCTTCTGCCTCCTTGTGGAGGATCTAAGTACTGCTGGGGAAAAGTGCCACTTATATTCTGTGATTAATTTAGTAATATTTTAAATTTACCAACTAAAATGTTTTTAATAACTGTATAATAGTTTTATTAAAATTAACAGATCAATTTTTTAAATGAAATAAAAATAAAAATCTGATGCTTATTTCATGTATCAGTATTTAAAGAGTTAAAAGAAAAAGTTTTTCTACAAATTCTGAAGGTTTTGGTGCATACAGAACAACAGAATCATTTTCCTGCGTGTTCTGAGGTCATTCTGTGACCGTACCTTTTTAAAATTGCTCTGCTTGCTGGTTCCCTGCTCTGTGTTCTGGTTGTGAATGATGTCCAGAGGAGTCTCCCTCTCTTTCAGCTTCAGACTCTCGATCTCTGTCTTCAGCTCATTCAGCTGCTCCTGCAGATGTTTGCTCTTCTCCATGTACTCCACTCTGTTCAAGGACAAATAAAAAGTTATTGATTTGTATTTATAGAGCCCGGCACATAATGTCGCTACTGTTAACCGTCCAACTGAGCTTTAAAATAAATAAGTTACATGCATGGTTTATTAATACACACTAATACGTTTGTTATTTTGTAGGTTTTGTGTCGCTTTTTATTTTTTTAAATTAAAAACCTCATTTTCAAGGGAGTCCTGGCCAAGAGGCGGCAAAAGTTTCAGTTACACATTTTTCTGCTACACACACCTTATGTACTAAATTACAGAAGGCAGTTACAGCACCGGGAATGTGTCTCCATGTTTCTCAGTATGGTTTTAAATGTATTCAAGGAAACAAACTCCAGTATTAAAGTAGTAATTTCCAGTCTTCCTGCAGCCTGTTCCATGCAAAATGAGCAGTCAGCGAAAGCCCTTTTGCCCAGTTCAGTGTGAGCAAACAGCACACAAAGTAACAGCTGATCGTCTGCACGCAGACTGTGAGAAGTTACACTTTTCCGTGAGATTAAGTTACAGATGTAGTTAGGAAGCAATCCAAGCATGGCCTCATAAATGAAAGTGGACCAATGTCCCAACCTCCTGGTCCCACTTGAGAATACAATTCACAATGATGGGTCAGTGGTCTAGAGTTAGTAACAAACCTCAGCGAGGCACGATACACCACATCAACCTTACCAAGACACTGTGCCGAGGCATTCATATACACAGGGTCTCCATAATCCAGAAGACAGAAATGTTGGGAGTAACTAGTCGTTTTCTTGCCTCAAAAGAAAAACAGTTTATTAAAAAATCATTCTGAGTTTGAGTTTCTTCTCAAGATTATCTGTATGGTGCTTAAAGGGGAGCGTCATCGAGCCAGACACCAAGGAATGCGTATGTGTGAACCACCTCTATGATATTTACCTCAAGAGTGGACGCTGAGGGCTTAGAGGTCTTTTTTTGAGTTAGAAAACAACATCAGCTTAGTCTTGTCAGCATTGAGGGCCAATTTTAACTGCAGAAGTGTTTGTTGGACCTCATTAAAAGCTTTCTGTAAGAATTCAACAGCTTTAGTGGGGGATGTTCCAAAACAGTAAATGATTGTGTCATCAGCGTAAAAGTGCAAATTAGCATCCGACACATTTTGACCTATGTCATTAATATACATAATGAAGAAGAGGAGTCCCAAAACCGAACCCTGTGGTACTCCCTTGTGGACACTCAAAAATTCTGAGGACAACCCATCACATTTAACGCACTGAGTTGTATCCTTCAAATAGTCTGTGAACCATGAGATTGCATGTTTAGATAATCCCAAACAAAGAAGCTTGTTTTAAAACTGCATGGTCTACAGTGTTAAAGGCTTTTGACAGATCAGTGAAAAATGAAGCACAGTACTGCTTTTTCTCCAGAGCAATAAGTATGTCATTGATATAGATAGATATATTCACTATAAATGTGTTGGTTTTGCTTAAGTGTGTGTGCCTACATGCAATCTAAATAATTTACACATCATTTATGTTAACTGTTTTCTCATTAAACAGTGAATTCCACCAACAGACTCACTAACATCTCTCCTGGGGCGCTGGGAAAAGCGCCCCTGAGCTGCAACTAAACAGCCAATCGTGTTTGGTTGCTAGGGAGAACAGGATAATCTTTGGCCAATCAGCATCACTGAATTTAATGTTTCCAGGGAGCTGGCAAATAGCATACTAGCATGCTAGAAGGTGCTAGATCTACTTTCTACTCTCTCTCTGTCACTCCCTCATTCACACACTCACTGAAATCCTACCTGCAGCTGCTGCAGTAAAATGTGTTTCCTTGTTCTTTTTAATATGATTATAATGTTTAAAACTGGATATCTAGGTCAAGAGCCCTGGTAATCCCAGTAGCTACTGATAAACTGACTTAATGGTGGAAGCAAAACCAGCACTGCTCAGATTCTAAAACGTGCTCCTTCATGTGCAGCACAGCATCAGAGCCTGACACGTATAACCAGCCCACTAAACTTCCTAAAACAAAAGATGTTAAAAGAAATCAGCTGAGTGGGGTGGCAACTCACTTCTCCTTCTCGATTTCCATGGAAAGGCGTTTCATGTCGGTGTCTTTGAAGTCAAAGCTGAGGTTCTCTCTGCTGTAGCTCAGGTCAGGAGGAATGCTGTCGGATGGCAAAACCGGAGACTAGGATGAAGAGGAAGAAGGAAAGAAACCGAGATCAGAGGGAAGGATGAGAACAGACGAAACAAAAAATACAAGAATGTGACAAGATAAAGGGAGATTATAATGTATCAAAATAAAATATGTGAAAACAACACCTGCAAAGATGACATAAGAAGAGGAAAGACCGCTGAGGTCCATGAACATGCATTAATATGCTTCTGAATGCAAACATGGTGAACGCATCAGTAACGTGTCACCTCAGAGTCAGCTGGAGAAGAACTGATCCTAATACACAATATAAATGTAAATCTGGCTCTCAGCATGGGAACCAAACTGTAGGTGGAGTAGATTCAGCGTCGGTGTCGGGTGAGGGCACGGGTGGCAGTCTGAACAGAGTGAATGCTGATGGAAATAAAAATAATGTGTGCAGACTTTTCACCCAGTAGTTGATGGTTAAAGTGCAGCAGCAGCACATGCTCTGTGTGTGTAGAGCAAACGTTTCATTTATAGGATGATACGAGTCGAGCAGCTGCTGTGTGTGTGTGTGTGTGTGCATGTGTGTATGAATATGAAACACGTGCGTTTTCAACATGTTAGAAGCTCCTGCGTGGGCTGCCTAATGCTCTGCTTGATCTTATGTAAGTACCTCTAGATCAGCGTGGATATTACCCTGGTGTTACTCATGTTAGTGAGTTTGAGTAAATCTGTCAAACCGATAAATTCATAGTAAGAAAAAACAATATTTTTCAGTAAAAACAGAACTCTGTCGTGTTTACGATCATGTGCGCCTCCTCTATGCCTGCATTTGCACTTCAGGCCTAATTAATGCTTTAAAGAAAATAATTCTGACTTTAAAAAAACTCTTTGAACATATTTGCACTGAAACTGTAAGAACTAAGGATAGACTGATATATTGTTTGGTCGACATTTACCAATCTTATCCAATGTCGGTATCGGCCGGTACACCTCTTTATGGCAGATTTAAAGTCAGGCAAAGCTGCAGACAGCCCTGTGATGTTGCAGGATTTTATTTAGATGTTTCTGAAAAACACCTTCCCAATAAATGCTTTAAAGGCCTCACTTGTAGTTTTACTTGCTTGTAGCTCCCCCTAGTGTTTGATAATAATTCACTGTGGTTAAACCGAAAGTGAAATCTATCTCCTCGCTGTGCATTTGTCTTTTTAACACCTTAACCTAACAGCTGAAATGCTTTCTCAGCCTTCATTAGTGTCTACAGAAGCGGTTCATCACTAAATCAAACAAATCAGCTGTTTTCATGATCTAAAACATGCAGGAAACGTGCTGGAAGTGTACTGCAGCGCTAGCATGTCAGTTCCACTCCACTCCACAGCTCCCTCCACCAGCAGGCACTGGACTGGCTACTCTGATGTTGCAAGTGCTGTATTCTGTCCACAGAGGGGGGTGAGGTCTGAGTGACATTTCATTAACCCTGTAAAAAGTCATCTTAGCACATAGTGGTTCAAGAAAATGATTTAAAAATATGAAAAAGTTGCCCTTCACATTAGTATGCATTTAAAACCTTTAGTGGCCTGTTTCGTATCTTTACTACTTGGTCTGTTGATTGATTTGTTTGATTATCTTTGATTAAATGTTTGATCTTAATCTTGTGCACAAAGTTAGCAAGCAGATAAGGCGGAAAACGTCTAGATATCTGCCATAAAAATCAGCCATCAGCTGAACAAGACCGCAACATGTCTGCATCGGTATCAGTAATGGAAAAACCATATCGGTCCATTTCTAATTAGAACAACTCTTCTTGTTAATCAGTCAAATCTAATGTTTCACCCTTCTGTTTTTCTTTACAGGTTTAAATTAGAGTTGCACGATTTTTTACACATGAACACCAGAGCGATGGGTGACATGTCCGCGTGTGGCTGAGCTACCGCGTTGATAGCTTTGCTTGTAATCTCCAGGAGTTTATTCCTCGCTCTGCGCTCCGACTCTCTGGCCTCCTGCAGGTCCTGTTTCAGCTGCTCCGCTTCTTTAGTCCTGACAGACAAGCAGAAGCAAAAAGAAACACGTTTATTGTTTATATTTCGGACTTTTCAAAGAAAACAGAACAATCTAAAACAATACCAATCATTATAAAAAACGTGTTCTTTGGAATTGTGGTTATTACCCAAAAAATCTTCCAAACAGCATTAAAGTAGAATTGATGACGTCACCGTTTAGAGCTCACAGATGTAATAATATATTAGACTAGTAATTATGTTTTTTTTATTTTTGAACACTCTCTGATTCTTTGCTGCCTGAAGCATTTGAGTGCATGTGGTCATTTACACGAGTGGTGCAGGAAAGTGCTCCTCCTGAAATTGCAGTTTCAGATAAGTGGCTAATGCTGGCCGTTTGAAATGATTGTCTAATAAACTGTAACGCAGAAGCTGTGGAGTGATATCAGCAATAGCAACTACAGTGTTTAGTTATTTAGATGAAAGGATCGTCCTCTATTTGGAGCAGATGGGGGATTATGCCGTTCCAAGACACTATTTCCACCTGAGCTCCAAACACTCAAGTGTCGAGCACAAGACGTACTTGATTTGATCGATTCCATAAAGGATGAACTGCTTCGAACCGACTCGGATGAAAACAAGAGAAATCTTTTTATCGGTGTAGAGATTCAGTGTGAAGTAAAAGAGAATATCTGATGGGGCTTCCTCTGTCAGTCGATTCCTCTAAAAACAATAAACTACAACTAGGGTCGTCGTCACGGTGTGAAGATTTAACCTCACGATTATTGTGACCAAAATTACCACGGTTTTCGGTATTATCGCGGTATTTTTTTAAACGTGTCACATTTCACACAATTAAATAAACCCTGTATATCAGGAAATATTGTCCTCAGTTTGTGTCTAAATTTAGCCTAAAATGTGTTATTTTGTAATTATGTTGTTTATTTGTTTACATTTTCCCCCTTTAGTCTTTAAAATACCAATATTTGCCCATAACTTCTTATTTTATGTCTGTTTGATGTCATCATTTTAAAAATATTAGACCAGATGATACTCAGTACTCAAGTAGCCTTCTAATCAGATACTTTTTTACCCTTACTTGAGTAATAAACCCTATATCAGGAAAATATTGTCCTCGGTTTGTGTCCTTCCAGTGAGCTTTGCAGATGTGGGAAAATGTCATCAGGCAGTAATCGTTGTTAAATTCATAATTATTCTCGGAGAGAGACCAACTCTTATCTGCCCCTGGGAGCCCCGTAATGCATAGCGTCATTTCAACATGGCGGTGTCCGCGACACGGTTTATATGCAGGTAGCGGCGCTGCGGCTGCTTTATATAGCGACTCGTTGCATTCTCCCTCAACCCAAATCCTCGGATCACACATTTTAGCTAAAACGCTAACGTTAGCTTGCCTTGTGTTGACTGTAGAGTTGTGGGTGATGGTCACACAGATGTGTCATGAGATTTGAAGCGTTGCTGCCTTTCACAGACACTTTTTCTGCACGTGCTGCAAACAGGATAGCCGTCTTCTATCAACTGTCCCTCGGCATTCTTCACATATCTAAAAGATGCCCGTACTTCCCACTTTGTCTTCTTTGAGGGATAATAAATGTCCTGAGCGCTGCCGTCTCCTCCTTTGGCCATTATTTCAGCTTTAGCTTCAAGAAAGTTTTGGTTGTAAACAACAAAGTGCGCATGTGCCGCCGGCAACTTCAGCAGATGATACGGTGGCTGGTAAGGGTCACCGCGCCTACACCGCAGCCACGGTAAACCCACTGAGATGATATAGTTTTTTTTTTTAAAGAAGACAGTTATTATTATTGTCAACTTTTTTTACTGGGGTTACCGTGACAACCCTAACTACAACAAATAAACTGCTGTGCCTCCATCCAATAAGGGAGATCTGATCATGAAAGCTCTGCCATTCCCTGCTTTTCCGACACTGAGCAAGAACAAAACCTCTGAAATTAAACGATTAAACAACTTAACATTTCCTATTATTTGTTTTAGCAATTAATTCTGCACCCTGAACAAAGTGAGTTATAACTTTCATGTCACCCGAGCAGACGTGAAGCAGAATGTTAGCAAACCCTTGTGTTAAACAACATAATAACTGGAAAAGCTGTTTGATGGGGGGTTAATAGTTATGTGAGTTATTTATAACATGTCTCCGCTAGGAGAGCTGCTCTGCTTGAAGGATTCAGATTTCAAAACATAAAGAAACTCCTGGAAAGTTAGGAGGACGGGGGGATAAGTTATTAAAAGACGTACGAATACTGCACGCTGTGTGTGAGAGCTAGAGTTAATCCTGGAAAGTGACAGAAACAAAAGCAGATGTAATTGTGACTTCATTAATCCTCTCAGTCCCCCACCTCCTCTCTGACTCTTCAGACTCCTTGAGTGCTCGCATCTCGGCCTCCAGCATCTTTTGTTCCATCAGGCGCCGCTCCTCCTGGCCGCGCATGGCGGTCACTTTGATGCGCTGCATTTCCGTCTCGACCTCAGCAGCTTTCTGGGCCAGCAGCTTGGCCTCCTCCTCCGCGATCTGGGCCTTCTCAGCCAGCAGGTCCGCCGTCTGCTCCGAACGCAGCTGGAGAGGAGGGGAGGGGGTGCGGGTTAAATGGCAAACAGGAATAACAGGGAAGTGACGATGGTAACGGAACACTTGTGACATGAAAATACGTGTGGAGAAAGGTATAAAATAAAAACTACGGGAAGATGCTTTTGAAAGAGTGATTTTATTTGTGTTTTTATTTTGTGTGGACGGCTCAAACCTCACCAGAGCCTCGCTGGCCATGTGAGCCTCTTCCTGCAGCTGAATCAGCTTCCTCTCCATCTCGGCTCGGGCTCTCTCTGCCTCCTTCCTCAGCTTCTTCTCCCTCTGAAGACGCTGCCACTCTGCCTGCATGATGCAGGAGTTTATTTTGAATATGGCAAACACGCATGTGTGAAATTACAGACAGCATTACATTTGATAACAGGGTGGAGCTGTAGGAAAATAAAACAAGTTAAGAGTAAAAATATTTAAAATGCATGTCTGTACTGTAAGAAAAACAGCGAGGAAATGAGAACATAAACAAAATGATCTGATCCTGGGCTGATTGCATTCGGTGTGGATAATTGCGTTTGCCTTCCACCTGTTCACAGAAATCCATTGTGACAGAAATCTGATTAAAGTGATTTATTACAGAACAAGTTTCTAACACTCAGCTGCACTGGAAAAGATAGTGTACTAATTAGAAAACAACACCTGGAACAAAGACTATGAAAGTATTTTGGTTCTGAATAAAAGCATGAGAAAATATTGAAGATTAGGATTTGGTTTAATACACTAAACGTGTGCATCACCACCTGCTTCCTGGCCCTCTCTTTCTTAGCCTGAGCCTTCAGCTGCTGGATTTCGAGGGAATCCACTTGACGTCGACGCATGAACAGGTCATGGTTCCCTATGCACAGCTGGAGGATCTAAAGACAGAAATAACAACAAGAATGGGATTATTTTCCCCCGAATAAACTGATTTACTGCCACTTAAGCCATAATCTGAGCTGAGCTCACCAGCTTGTTGACGCGAAGTCGTGAAGAGATGAACTTGAAGGTGTTGCTTTTCTTGCCCACGGGTTTGATGGTGAACTAAACATCAGGAAAATCCAGAATCTTTATCATCGTACAGAAAACGGACACAACTGGATGGTAGATCAGGACTTTCACTTTTATTTTTGGAACAGCAAAGCCATTTTTAAACATGTAAAAGATTCAAATGTATTTATTCCTGCAGCACGCTCTCCCACCTCCTTGTCGCTGTAGGATATGTTACGGATCTCGTTCCATGGGAAGGAGCACTTGGGCGTCAGCTTGTTCTCCGGCTCATAGATATGGAGACCCAGAGCATCGACTCCCAGCAGAAGACCCGTTCCCTTCTTGTTCTGAGTCACATAAGAAGTAATAAAGCTGTATTACTGCTCAACACGAGCGGGCGGAGGGGAGCCCGAGATCCCAGCCAAACTTCACTTTCAGCTGATGATGAAATCTTTCATTCAAACATAAACCTACAGTTGGAAACTGGACATGAAAATGTCCCCGGTCCTAGAGCATTTGTTGGAAAATTAGGCTTTTTTTAACTGTAAGACCGTCCAGAGCTATTTTTACTGTGTCGAAAATTCAAGCCACAGATGTTTGTAAAGGTCTCGTTCACTCATTTTTTATACGTCTGCTGTGATTTCTAGTATGAATGAACGACTCGTGAGCTCTGGTGCAACAGCAACGCCACTTCTACAGCTTCTTAATGACACTTTATCTGAGCTGGCTCATTCTTCTTTTCTACCTCATTTTACCCGCTTTGGGTTGTTTGAGCTGTTATACAATGATTAATGATTTAGGAGATGGATTTTTTTATATCTAAGAATATATTTAGCATTTTATCTTACTTGACCTTAACGTGTATCTAATTTAATTCATTTGATTTGTATTATAATATTTTTATTTGTAAAGCGGTTTGGTCAACAACGGCTGTAAATGTACTACAAATAAAACTGACCTTGACTCTTCCACTTGCTGCGTTCGATCGTTTTCCTTGAGCAAAAATTGTAACGTTGATGTTTTATCTCCATTAATAACAAGCCAGAAGGAGTTCTGCTGTGTGGTGGAGTTGCTAATGCTAACTGTTAGCTTCTACTAGCTGAGATGTGCTCTGCTCTCTGCTGGTCACAAATACAACAAGGCCTTCAATGGTCTCAAGCCATGGTGGGCGGGGTCATGGATGCTAATTTTCCCCGTGACGTTAAAGAAACCGAGTTTTTCTGGCCCGGCTGTTTCCTCGTCTTTTTGCCATCTCCTGCTAATGCAGGTGATGAAAATGTTCTCGTTCTGCGTGAATGTGAAACTCAGAGTGACCCGGGTCATTTCAGTGTAGGACACATTTGAAAAGAAGCAGAAACACTAAAGGCTGAGTCATGCTTCTCCGTCAGCTCCAACAGGGAGAGACACGCACGGATTGACGGAGACATTTTGTCCTCATACTTCTCCGTCTCCTGGGGAGTGTTGCAAAGCAATTCCCCGGCAGGACAGCAGAGGGCGTAGCGCTGTTCTGTGGTATCCTGTCATGTATCGGTCCAGGATAGTGTGTTTATATTGTGTTTTTTGTATATAAGAGACTTTTTAACACGGACATATTTGTCTCTCATCCTCCTCCACCTCTTCATGCGCTCCCCACCTCTAAACCCACGTTTCCTGTCATTTCTGTCCACAAATAAAACGCTTGCTGTACATCTTTTCACTCCTCCAGTCACGGGGAATTAAACGTTCATATTTTTAGAGTTTTTTCACGAGGTATTCTTCAAGCTTCTCCGTGTCTGCCGCTAGTTATCCTCGGCTCTCTTTATGTTTTTGAGGGCGCAATGGCGGCGGTGTAGATGACAGCGGTGCCCTGACCAATCACAAGCTTGCGTTCTCCGTCTCAACGGATGGATGTTTAAAAAATTGGGCTCAATTGCGTGCCTGCCGGGGCCCTACGCAAGGACGGATAATGGCGTTGCGTGTCTCCGCGCTGACGCAGACGCATGAATCAGCCTTACGTTTAACAGCTTTTCAAAGCCATTTCACAACCCAGTAAAGCTCACAATCTTTCAAAGATCACCTCGTAAAGAAAGTTGCAAACCAGCACGGACTCACCCTGATAAGGAAGTAATTGATGCCGTACATGTCCAGGTCCTGAGCTATTTTTAAATACTCCATCTCAGCTTCATCCCTGGTTCAAACAGAGAGAGAGAGAGAGAGAACGATTGAGAGGGATCCAAGAGAACGGAGAAGGGAAGTGGAGGAGAGGAGACGCATCAGACCTTTGGTGTGTTTTTGTGAGCAGCATCTGTTACCCTGTATCATCTCTAAAATCTCTGTCACAGTGAAAAAGAACACAGAAACGACGGTACTGAAACAAAACTCAACTCCACCTCCCTAACAGGCTTTAGGGGTCATGTTTGATGGGAACCAAGACTTATTCTGACGCTTCCAGGATAGTAAAGACAGCTGGAGAGAAAACAAAGGCTTCTCTTCTTCCTCTTTTCTCTCAGCTTGCTGGCAGATCTGCTATCATTTCAGGGTCAAACAGGTAAAAAAAAGATCATTAGAATACTTGATGACTGAGGGAAAATCGGGACGCGGTGCTTGAACTTGTACAACAAGATGCTACGTATGGTTACTGACGATTTCAGCCTCACGGGTGTTTTGAAAGGCAAAAGCGTTGTGCCAAGTAAACAAAAACAAAACTAGGTTGGACAGCGCGCCGACTCAAACTTCCGTCTGGATCAGAGGAAATTCAAATAGTGCTGCTTAATTTATGCAGAGAAGTCCACAGCAGGAGAGCTGATGGTCGCGGTCTATGAAGAACATGCAGATGGAAGGTCAGCTGGTTACTTTGATGTGGAGCATTTCAATTTTAAATCCAGTTCTAAAAACATGTGGAAGAGTATACAGACGAGGGTACACCGGCGAAAAGACGGCTCCTTTTCCTTTGGCAGAAGCAGCGCGGTACAACAAACAAATATAAGGCAGGTCTTCTTAGACGGTTTGCCCTGATTATAGAGACTGAAATCTTAAGATTCCAGCTGCAGACCAGAGGAACTGGTCCAGTTATATTTAATGTCACTATCGGTGTGTTTGGTAAATATATCATGGAAACGCGAGTTAACCGTGTGTCTGCTGGGATTTTATGTTTCTGTGACTTCAGATATGAGTTTGAATAATTTCTTATCCCTGATTAATCTGATGCAGCGGAGGGTGAAACTGGAACAAATCTAAATGCCACTTGTAGCTTCCCATTAGTGGGAGTATGGAACTCCAAGTGTAAACTGTTCGGGGAAAAAGACTTACTTCATTTTTAAAACTTAGCATACATATAACACAATTTCATCACATTAAAGAAGATATTCCCTAAAAATCTTCACAGACCAAAATCTTTACATTTTACATAATTATAGACAATCTAAACAATAAAATCTAAAAGTTTAAGCTAAATCTTGTGGTTGAAGGCAAATTAACCACACCCCTCAAGCTACCCATCGTGGCCCCGCCCACAACAAAGGTCGACCAATTACGCTTCCTTTCTGTCGCCCTGGGCATTGGATGTGCTTCAAAAACGTAGCTCACAGATTTGGATTTAGATATATACTTTTGATTTAGATTTAACATTTAAGTTTAGATTTAAATTAAACATTTAGCTTTAGATTTAACATTAAGATTTTAACACTACTTAACATTTAGGTTTATATTTAACTTCTAGATTAAAATTTACCTTTTAAATTTAGATTTAATATTTAGGTTTAGAGTTAACACTTAACTTTAAATTTAATATTTAGGTTTAAAACTTACGTTTACATTTAACTTCTTCTAGATTTAGATTTACTATTTAGATAAAATTATTTTGAATAAAAACATGTTGGTATATAACGAACTGTAGGCAATTCACATTTTAACTTTGAAGAAAGCTTTAAAATACCACAAAAAACAGACAATTTAGCTCTCCTGTGGAGACACATTAGCTCTGTGTTAGCCTACTAGCTAGCGGCTGCATGTTATGGCGTCTGAATCCCTGCCTGCCATAAATTGTGTGACATAATGGTGTGATTTCGTCCAAGAAACAAAGAAAACTGATGTAGAGCAACTTGTTGAAATAAAAACTAAGCAATTGTTGTTCCGTTTGAAAATCTCTATCTCAGAGTGAATTAAAAAAAGTCATAAATGTTGTTATGTCCTTTGAAAATCACATATTTGGGCCTGTTATTGATCAGGCATTAGTGATCGCATTGGAGCATAAAAAATGTGTATTTCAAGGAATTTGGTTAGAGATTAAAATGGAACCAAAAGTAAACCAATACCTGAGCTAAGACCTACAATACCCATGCTACCTAGTGAAAAGGGTGACTTTATACATGAGGTGTGAGAGAAAGTGATGTTCTCTAAGCACATTTGCCATCAATACATCCCATAAAACACAGCCCAGAATTCCTTTTGGCCAGGAGTATTCAATTCCGGGCCTGGAGAGCCGGTATCCAGCACGTTTTAGTGGTTTCTCTGCTCCAACACACTGGATTCAGTGGTTGAATCACCTGTGCAGCAGCTCATCAGGCACTACAGAAGCCTGTTAATTACCTGCTGAATGATATCAGGTGTGTTGAAATAGAGTTAAAATTAAAATGTGCTGGATATCGGCCCTCCAGGCCCGGAATGGAATGCCCCTGCTTTAGGCTTTAGCGTGAGTTTTACTGGGGAGCAAAAACGGATGGAGTTTACTCGTTGGATCGCGCATGCGGGACTGCATCATCGGAGAGGGGACAGCGGGCAGCAGAGGGCGACAACGTCCTCTGCTGCCCGCGGATAAATGGAGAAGGAAGTGACGCCACCATCAGCGTCGGCCTGACGAAGTTTGCAGCCGCAAACGAAACGTTGCAGGTAAATAAAACCTTTCTGTGTTTTAAAAAGAACTAAAAGATGGAATTAGAGTTTTATTTGTAGTTTTCTGCTCTGAGTGAAGTTACTAGTACTTTGTTCCTCAAATCCTTCAGGATGAAAGGCTTGTTGGTCTGCACCAGTGCTGAGGTTTCTGGCTATTGAAGTCCAAAAATATCCCACCCACTAAATTTTAACACACTTCACATTCCTGCAATTTCCCCACGTCCACTTTTAATTTAGCTCAGGGAAGCAGTGAATTTCTCAATTATCCAGAATTCTGTTAGAAATTAGTCTTTTACAAGTTTTTTCTGCACCTGACTTCCAAAATAGACCCCAGCTTTGCAGAACACGTGTTTTAAAATCTAAAACTTTAAATTGTGCTTCTGACTGTACACCTTGCGGTAGTTCAGTCATGAACATCAGTTTCTACCTCGTCCTGCCTCTGTGCTCTGCATAACACACGGTGATTCGCTCCTCCCACATCTCTGCAGTCATCTGGTACAAGTTGATCACCTGAAATTGAAAAAGGCCAACACAAACTTCGTATGAAACGTACGGGCTGTGGAGTAGATATTAGAATACCGTCACACAGTGAGAGTATGAGACACATACAGTATGTCAGCATCCTCACTCACGCCTGACAGGGACTCACCCTTTTTGGCAGCAGTTCCTCCTCCGCCAGGAAGCCTGGTTCATGAACATTAGGGTCATAGTCTCCATACTGTATAAGAAAAATATATGAATCAGCTTGATTCCAAAAGGTTGAATGAATCCAAACCCAAAAGGCATGAACCAATATGAAAGGTTGGATGTCCAGTATTAATATAGCTGTTGTTACCGATAACCAATATTTATTGATATTGTGTATCATATATATTTCCATAAACCTATAACACTGTGTAAAAGTAACCACACCACCTACACTGCACCTCTGTTTTAGCTAAACTCGCTTTGTCTGTCTTCGGGTGTACGGCGCTTCTGCATTTTTTCTGGAAACTGGGAATTATTAAAAATGGTCAGTTGGTCTCTCAACGCGACTGACAACATTTTTTCAACGATAAGAACGGGAGAAGGGGCTCCCGGGGGCCCCTCTGGGACAGAGCCAGCTGGGCATATCATGGACTCCTGGAAACAGTGGAACCTGATCTGCCTCTCTCAACTGTCTGTAGAGGATTCTGAAGACGTCTGGATATTCGCGTTGTTGGGGTCGGGTTTCCTGCTTTTTGGCCTGGGAGGTTACCTGGCTTATCGGAAAATTAACGAGCTGTCGAGGAATATTGGCTCTTTCCCGGAGCTCAGGGATGGATTGCACCGCGCTGTGAATGCACAAACTCATATAATTGTCGAGATGAATCGTAAGCTTGGAACTTTGGCTGAGAGTCACTGTGCCCTCTAAACCCTACGACCTCCTCCCCCTGTCCAGACTGAGGTGACGAGCGCTGCTGATCATGGCTGCATGCACTGATGTGAGGAGAGTCCCCAACCCTACCACCCCACCTAGTGGACACTGATGTTGTGTTATGTCTGAGATCTGTTGCGTTTCTGTCTGAGGTGACTTTTGCAGAGCAAAGCTGCTCTCCCCGTGGAGGGTAACTCTGAAGTGCCTTTTCTTTCCTCCACCTGACCCAATCCTCATGTAAACCCCTCTGATCTCTATTAAGGTAGCGCGACTCGGGTTGCGAATGACCACAGTCACCAATTCTTGTCATGTGTCTATGTATGTATGTCTGATCTCAGAATTGTGTGTACTGAAACTCTAATTTCCCTCTGGGATTAATAAAGTATCTTTGAATTGAATTGAATCATTGTGATCAGTATCAGTGTTATTACTGACTCCGACCTGAGCTTCTCTGGACTTATTAAGGCAATAACAAAATCAGCGTTTTATCACCTTCATCAAATATCAAAAGTCAGAGGTCTCATGTCCAGACCAGACTTAGAGAAATGTATTCATGCTCTTATTTCTAGTCGGCTGGACTACTGCAATGGTCTCCTAACTGGTCTTCCCAAAAAAGCTGTCAAGCAACTGCAGCTTGTTCAGAACGCTGCTGCTAGAGTCTTAACATGGACTAAGAGAACGGAGCACACCACTCCTGTTCGTAGATGCCTACATTGGTTTCCAGTAAACTACAGAACAGACTTAAGTGCTCCTACTAGTTTATAAATCACTCAACAGCATGGGACCAAAATACATGTCTGATCTCATTCCTGTATATACACCCAATAGGGCTCTGAGTGTCATGTTCTGTGTCCCTTTGGTCCCCAGCCCCCTGCTGGCTTCCCTCAGGTTCCCCCTAGTCCCTTCACTTTAGTTTTCTATAGGTTCAGATTTTCTAGTTCATATCTCCTTTAAGCCGGGCGGACATTGTGCGACTTTTTCACTTTTTTGAGCCGATTTTCCACTCGTGCGAGAATCCACGAGATCGGGGCGAGTTTTGAGCTGAGCGTCGTGTAGTGTACAGGGGGTTACGAGAGGCGATTAACACCACGTGACCAGCTACTGATCAGCAATCGTGAGCTTGCACGGACTTCTGGCGTGTTTGATATTTTGCTCGTCCCTCGTGAGGGTATCGCACTGTTGAAGCGGCGCTGCAACCCAAAAAGTACCAGAACCGCTCACGGCGCATGCGCAATCATGCATCAACACCGCTCGCCCGCTATTTCCCTAATAACACACGTTGTTCGTTTTAATTTCTACACATTTTTTTAACTCACAAAGATTGTCTAGAAAGCGTGTTTGTCGTGTTCGTGTCAAATTAAACTGATCACTAAACACAGATTTACTTTCTTTATTTCGTTTTCCTCATCCAACCCCCATAAATCCCTGTGTGTCCTCCTGCAGCACTCCCGAAGGACAACAGGCAAGACAAGACAAAAAAGTCTGACGTGTTGAGTAAAAACTGCTATTTTTAGCATATTTTTAGGTCCGACGTGTTGCTACCAGACGTACAGCGTGAGCAGTCAGATCGCATCCGAGAACTGGGTCGTGCAGTGTGAGCGCATGACTCGTGAGATCTGCCCTGCGAGGAAGTCGTACAGTTTGAGCTGAAGCTGAGTGCTACGAGTGAAAAAGTCACAGTGTCCGCCTGGCTTAAGTGTGTTGTGTTTCCTTCCCCATTTAGGTCATTAGTTTACTCATCTTTAGATCTCCTGGGTCTTTGTTCTACGGTGTTTAGGATTAGTTTAATTCAGTTTTGTTTAGCAGCTTTTGTTTTACAGGATTTAGATCTGGGTCTCTCCCCTGCTTGTTTCTGCTCCTCCTCTCAGTTCATTAGTCTCACCCGCACCCAGTTCCCTTAATCACCCAGCCCCTGTGTATATAACCCTGTCTTGTCTCTCTGTTTGCTGTGGGTCCATTGTCTTGTGTGCTCTAGGTTCCTGCTCATAAGTGAGCTTTTGTTTGGTCACTCAGTGTTTTTGTATGCGAGGCTTAGATTCCTGCCTCTTTGGATCTTTGCACCTCATCCTAAACAAAGGAATCTTATTTTTGCAACCGCTCCTGCCTGTGTAGCTCTTGCATTTTTGGATGCAATCCTCCTACCCTCAACGTGACGCTGGAAACAATCAGCTGGTAGAACCACGAATCAGAACAAAACATGGTGGAGATGCTTTAAGTTACTATGCTGCTCACATATGGAATCAGGGTCCCCATGACCTCTGATGTGCCCCAACTCTAGTGTTGTTTAAAACAAAACTAAAACCTTCGTGTACTCATCAGCCTTTAAATGACTTGTTTCTTATGCTGCGTCATCTCCACTGTAACCTGCCCTGTAACTGTCTTCTCCTTTAGCTTTAAGCTGTAATTCTGTGTGTTTTTACGTTGTTTTCATATCATGTCCTGATCATTGTAAAGCACAATGAATTGCCTCTGTGTCTGAAATGTGCTCTATAAGAAAAGCTGCTTTGCCTATCACTGTCACTGGCCCAAACAAATACGACATGGCCAATGCCCCTCCCCCAAACACACAAGCAAACAGCAACAATATGGAGACAAATATCAGTTATTAGTATTTGCTCAGTTTGACTTACCTGATCAACATTGGTATGTTTATGATGTGTTTCAGCACCTTGGCTCCCTGACAGTCCCGGAAGGCGCTTTATAAATAAAGCTTTGATTTGATTGATGTTGAAAAAGACTGACATCGATATTGATGTTGAAATATCGTGGCTCACTAACTAAAACTCTTTTGTGAATTGGAACAATCATATTTGCACAAACATGCAATAATTTAACAATTTAAAGGGTAAATGACCTGTTTCAGAATCACAAAAGTTCTGCACCCAGCCATGAATTTTTATAGAACATCACGTTTATTTCATGGTTTGAGATAAGAAATAAAAAAAAAACAGACGAGTACAATTCCAGTTTACAACAAGGGTATTTTCAACAGACATCCAAAGCCTGTTTAATCATGAAAAATAAGATTTTCAAACACATTCGGCTACAGTCCTATCTTTTGTTTTCCCATTTGTAGGATTTTAGCTTTTATGATAAGAGTTGGATTTTGTTTGAGTCTGAAAGCTCTACATAATGGAGCTCACCTCCATAAGCTCGGGTTACACACTGCGAAGCCGGGAACACCAGCGCAGTGATTACCAGAATTGAGTTTCTCTGGATAATTTAATTAGATTCTGTCTCTTCAGTCCCCCACCACCTCTTCGGCTCCCCGGGGTTTCTCACCTGCTTATTTCTAACTGCTAAATAATTGATGATACATCGACTTATTGAAGTCGCCTCACTTAAAGAAGACAAGGTGGAACAATGTTCTCTGAAACTTTTATTGGATAACCTTTCTCCCAATTATTTTAAATAATCTTCGACTAACAGGAGCAATCCGATCCCACAGACGGGTTAATGTTGATTTTTTTTTTTTTAGTTGTCAACAGCAGCTTATAGATAATCTTTGTTCAACAAAGCCATAAGGAATGTGTCCCTAACAAATATGAGAAGGAAAAGGACGCATCCTTCTGCCCCGGTGAATCATTAATAGCAATTCTATTTGGTTATAAAATCACTTCTTAATGATTATTTTTCTGTGTATTTGCTAACTTTTTTTGTACGTTCCTTCTGTGTAATCCGTCAAATTCCATTGCTTGGTTCTTTTTTAAACACAGCGTAGAAAACATTTGGTTTTACCTTTTAAGTGGAGAAGTTTCAGCTAGCATTGCCGATGCTCTGAGGAAGGCATTAAACAAATCTTTACTACACTGTTTCGACAAGAACCAAGCAATGGTTTTCACTAACTGTTTAACTTCTTCGTGCAATCCGTATTTTACATCAGTACCCTAAAACATTTTAGGGTACTGATGTAAAATAACTGACACATGACTTGTGGGGTAAAAGTAAAACTGCTCACTCTTGTAAAAATATATCATAATCAATACATTGGTTAGGGTTAGGGTTTCATTGGAGCCTCCTTAGAAAGTATTGTTTCTTGCCAATCATAGCGCTCTTATCGGTTTGGTGGACCAATCACAGTGCTGTGACTGAGTGAAACAGCAAAGATGGCGGTGGCTCATTTGAAATGGTTTTGGCATCAAATTTGGACCATTTAGACATCAGGGTTTCCCCCAGCACAGGCTTATGCCTGGCGGCCCGCCAGGCTAAGCGCCATGTCCCGCCCTCCCCGACCCTACCGTGTCCGCTGACACAAACGGCGCAAAGTAGGGCCCTCTCCATCAGCTGACACTGGTGAGAAACAGCAGCGGATCGTGTGCACGTGCACGCTTACCCCCCCCCCCCCCCCCGCTGTCACGGATAAGCAACGGAACTCGGAATTCATACACCAAGCCCCCACCTCCACCCCCGCTCTGACGGTCCGGTCCGCCAGGCTTTACTCGTTTTCTGGGGGAAACCCTGAACATGTTATTTTATTTGAGTCAAGAGCAGATGTTGGTACTTAGGTCCTTTATTTAGAAAAAGGATGTATTTGTGTCATCTTCAACAGTGTATGGCGGTCTGCGCTGTTGACTGACATCCATAGAGGTGAATATGTTGTAAAGTTTGTTGTCCAATAGAGCGCGGAGACAGTTTAACAGACAACCATAGATCCCGCCCCAAAACTGATCTCTGTTTATGGGTCATGGCCTAACTATATATTCACATATATAAGATGACTTGCCAGGCTAGCATTTAATAATATCACTAGAAGGTGTGTCACAGAAAAGGGGGAGGGGTCATAACTGAAAATAATGGCGGCGAAATGACGAGTGTCACATGCTGCTGCAGTGCTGACTTTGTTGTAAAAGTCCTTTCACAGGATTTTTAAAAGAAGATTAAATCTGTGTATTTAAAAAAGGGTGTGACATAATAAACATTTGCTTGCTAAATTGAATGTCATGACATAACTTTCATATTAAGGTTTTGTTGTTGCGTGATGAAATCAAATAAGAAATCCTCTCAGTGGCCTATTATGAAACAGGAAATAAAAGCTACAAAGTGGACAAGCCCAGTGATTAAACTTTCAAAAGGTTTTGTTTGAAGCAACCATGATTCCCATCAGTGCCATATACGCCAGTCTACCTGCCCCATGCCTCATCACTTTGAAATGGGTGAGCAAAGCACCCTCACCCCCTACTGTTAAACCAACCTGCCAACCAGTCTCTCTTTTAATTTTTTAAACCCCAGCTTTTGTTCTGATACTTCTGGTCCTTGGGACAACGCATCTACTCTGAAAACAAAGCCCAACTGTGAAGAAAAGGATGAAAATGTTTGCGTTCTTCTCAGATCTACTTGTGTTTCTGTTTGTTTTTAAAGAGCAAAAAACATCTTACAACACTAGACTGAAAAGTGATTCCAACCGTGTGTGTGTGTGTGTGTGTGTGTGTGTGTGTGTGTGTGTGTGTGTGTGTGTGATATACTGTCCAGGCCGTCATCATCCCAACTAAAGATATCATGGCACCAAAGTAGATAACAGTGTGTAGTATCCTCTACTTCAATGGCTGCACAGTGATTGTGCTCAGAAACACTTCAGGAGGAGATGAGAAGAAGGAAAGTGTGCCAAAAACCTCTCAACAGCTGCCATACTTAACAAGTAGCTGTTTCCCCTTTACCCTGCCAGTTTAGTCGTATTGACGCTAATGCAAGCTGACTGTTGATTTAATGAAAACAGACTGGGGCCTCACATTTGTGCTGCTTCCTCAATGAGGGTGCTGACACCGAGGAGCACAGCGCACAAGCTGATTTGCTGATTTTTCATTGATCCACACTGTCTCTTTGAAACCTGGCTTGTTAAATTGGCACGGGAAAGACGAGCCTCCCAGGACTCTCGGCCAAATCTTTAAGGTAAAGCTTCGCTCTGTCAAGAACCTATGCTACAGTACTCCTAGCATTGTCAGAGGGACTTCAAAGAGATGGGACCCTTCAAGCAAAACGACTGAGACTGCTTGAGGCTTGTTAGGAGTTTTTTTCAGTGACTCTTGGATGCATGTTTGTCTCTAAACTTGTAAATTAATAATCAACTAGAAGCCCCTAAGACCCGGTTCGCACAGCAAGATAAGTATGCCAATTTTTGACCCGATTCTCCTCTCCCGACAATTAAGGCCACACCTAACTCCCGTAATGGCTCTGAAAATCCTTCCTACCGTGTGTGGTGTGTTAAGAGAACTCTGGTCTGCTCAGAAGGACCTCTCTGATCATAAAAACATGACATTAAACACGTTGGATTGTCTTGCTTGTTTAATTAAGTGGAAAAACCTTGACCAGTGTCGCTCAATAGGCGGCCCGCGTGCCAGGTCCTTTTTCCGACCCTGAAATCACGATTTTTACCTTTTACTGAGGCAGCGTGGTATTGTGCTGGCTTTATTTAAATAATAACAGGAAGACCACGGCCCCTGTGTCAGCTCCACAACACAGCAACAGTACAGTCTTCTCCATGCTAAAAACAGTCCCTTGCATATTAACACAGCATCTGCTAGAGTGATGCGTTTTACTTTCCCTTTCGAAGCTGCTTGTTCAGTGATTATTTTCATATTCACTCGTCATTTTTCTCCATCCAAAAAACTGCCGAGGAATAGACTATTTAAAGATGAATGGACAGAACAATTTGCATTTATTCTTCCTCCATCAGACCCATGTGCTTAATTTGTCAAGAGTCCATTGCAGTGATAAAGTTTTCCTATTAGAAACGGCATTGAGAGGCATCACATGGAAACTGTATCGTATGCTTGTTGCTGCTCTGATTGAAGAAGGCAAGTTGTGCTCAAGCAAATTTTATTCAGGCGTGTTGATTGACAAATTATAATAAACTGACCTCTGGCTCATTGAAAAAGTTAATGTGGCCCTTTGAGACTTGTATTTGAGCCCGCCTCTAACCGGAGGGTTGCCCCTGTCTGTCTCTGTTCCTGTACCCTTGGTGGTGGTCAGAGGGACCATCACCATCAGTGTGTGAATGTGTGTGGGCGTGGATGAAGGACTGTTGCATTGTAAAGTGCCGGGTGGGGGGGAGGGGAGGGGGGGGGGGGGGGGGTTAGGAATCTGAAGGCACTATATAAATACAGATCATTAACAATACCACACACACAGTAGGACCAAAGTTGTTAAATCCATGATTTTTTATCACCCCCTGTGGGTTCTCATGCTTTTTCAAACGCTGCCCTGAACCGGGCCTAAACCATATCTGCCCTACGAGTTATCCCATCCAGTTCACAAAGTTTTCCATTATTAACAAATTATGCTAAATCAAATGAGGCAGTCAGGTAAAGACCAAGTTGAAAAGGAGTTAATGAACAAACCAATCAGAGCCCTTGCAGAATTGAAAGCCTGACATGGAAGTTAAGAAGCAGCAGAGATTGTGAACTTGATCATCTAAAACCGTCACTGTCCCTAGCTCCGAATCCTCTTTAGTTAGAAAATAATGAAATGTTGCACCAGCAGGTGCTGGTCTAGTTAAGTTAGAATCAGCAGGTCTGAAGCTGAGAAGGTTCGCATCAATGAACTGATCAGAGATTCTGAGTTGTGTTGGTCACTGCTGTCGGGGGTTTGGTGAAGATATTTGCAAGTGGAAACTGCAGATGTGTTGACTGTAAATCTATGTATACAGTTTTGTTAACAATTGTATTGTTTTTTAACAATAAAAAAGTGTTTTAGAAAATATTCAGCACCTTATCATTCCAAAATAGTATGTAAGATTATAGAAAAAGTTCTTGTTGAGTCATAGATGTATGACTGGAGGTTTAAATGACTGAGAATAAAGTCTTGAGCCCAGAACAACGAGTACCCACCTTGGCGTGGACGGCGTAAGAGGCCAACAGCACAGACGCTTCAGGAGGACAGTGAATCTCTTCCTCGAGGATCTTCTTCTTCACCTAATGAGTAACCAAATCCCATCAGCGTGGAAACGTGACGGAAATCCCCTGATAATTATCCCAACTTTTATTTTACAAACATTAACTATGATATTAACCCTCTGGAGGCAGGCGCTGCAGATTTGCAACAGTTAAAACCTACCTACCTGGTTACTCCGCATACCGTATTTTCCAGACTATAAGTCGCACTTTTTTTCATAGTCTGGCTGGTCCAGAGACTAGTATACCAAAGTGACTTGTATACCAAAGTGACTTGTATACCAAACTATGTAAACTAAACCGCGCTACTGCGGGCCGGCTCTGGAACAGGAATGAGCTCCCCTGCCCCGCTATCACCTACTGGAGACCGTTGCGCGCTGCTGTGGGCCGGCTCCGATCCAGGTTTCAGCTCTTCTGCCCCGCTGGGAGGGTTTCAAACACCGCCAACCTCTGCTGGAGACTGCGGCGCGCTGTTGCGCCCTGATTGTTTATTCTGTTATTGTTACCGGTACTTGTCTTGCAATGTGAAATGCTTGGTCTCAGATTTTGTAAGAAAATAATAAAATTTTTCCCCAAAATGTGACTTATAGTCCAGTGCGACTCATATATGGTTTTTTTTTCTTCTTCATTATACATTTTATGGCTGGTGCGATTTATACTCTGGAGCGACGTATAGTCCGGAAAATACGGAACGTATTTCATGATCATTTTTTAACTCAGAAACTAAGGACTTAGTTGTTTTATCAAAACTTATTTTGAGCCTGAGAGGGTTAAAACTACTGATATTAAATCTGCAGCCATTATTCTGGTTTTATCGCTGTATGGTGTGATTAATGAATTGACCTTTTAAACAGCATTATTTCATTTGCTTTTGTTGGTATTTAAAGTGGTAAAAATATACTCTTTTTGAGTATGTCACTTTTTCTATATAATTTATTCTGTATGATAGAATCTGTTTAAAATATTTGTTCAAAAATAAAGAATAAATGTACATTTTTCATGACTGAATAGCCTTTAAATTGCTAACTAAATGTCCGGAGAGCAG